CTCTCTATTTTTACAAAGACTTAGCCTTACAAATGTTAACTCATCCAAAGTCACATAACTGGCTGCTGAATGGGGATTTCAACACAGCCTCATATCAGAGAATGTGCTTTTAAACTAGTTCATAGTGATGGTTCCATGCATTTATTCAAGACATCTTCATCAGGTGCCCACTCCGTGCTGGGCACTGTTCCAGGCACACGGGCTCACCTATCTAGAATAATAAAAGCCTAAGCGACCGTCACAACTGAACAGATGACCAAACAGGCTGCATGGGGCGACCAGGCCAGCAGAGGGGTTAGTGAGGGGTGACCAAACAACTGAGCAGCAGGCTGCATAGGGCAACCAGGTCTGCAGTGGGGGCTCCCAGTGAGGGACTACCAGGTTGGCAGTGGGGGGCAGTTGTGAGTGAAGAGGTGGGCAGGGGGTAGTAAGAGGCGATCAGGCCAGCAGGGGGTAGTTAGGGGCGATCAGGCAGGCAGGTGAGCAGTTAGGAACCAGTGGTCCTGAAAATTAGGCCTAAACTGGCAGTCAGAAATCTCCCGAGGACCCCTGATCCCCATGCACAAATTTCATGCCCTGAACCTCGTGTGTGTGTGTGTGTGTGTGTGTGTGTGTGTGTGTGTGTGTGTGGAGAGAGAGAGAGAGAGAGAGAGAGAGAGAGAGAGAGAGAGTAACTGAACTGCCAAACAACCAGAGCAACCAGTCAAGCAGTCACTATATGCACACTGACCACCAGGGGGCAGACTCTCAACGCAGGAGCTGCTCCCTAGTGTTCAGTGTGCTCACACAGTGGGAGCACCACTCAGCTGATTGGGATGAGTGGCACTCCCACAGCAGACCGATCCCTGCAGGCCATGTCCCTGACCAGTGCATGAATTCATGCACCGGGCCTCTAGTAATGTAAATAAAAAATAGAGAATCCCCAGCCTTCACTGAACCTCACACGCTACCTAGGGGATACAAGCAATCAAGTAAACTCTACAGACCAATATGTGAGGCGGGTGATAAGGCTAAAGAGAAAAATGGAAAGGAATTTAGGGGGAGGAGTAGGGAAGAAATAATAAAACAGGTGTCTGGGAGGCTTCAGGAAGGAGGTGGCATTTCAGGAAAGGCTGAAGGAGGTGAGGGAGGTAGCCAGAGGAACAGCATCCTAAGCAGAGGGAAGTGCAGTAGAAAAGGGTCAGAAACTCGAAGCCCATTGCAAAGCTTTTACTCTGAATTGCATGGAAAGTCACTGGTGGTTCAAGCAGTCAGGGAGCCAGATCGGGAGGTCATTGCAAAATTACAGGGAGGACTTGAGGGGGGCTCATCCCAGGATGGTAACTGAGAACGGTGTGAGGGACAGTCGGATTCTAGGTGCATTTCAAAGATGGAGCCCACAGAATCTCCCGAAGGATGGCCTGGGAGTGAGAGCTAAGAGGAGGAAAGAGGAATGAGGTTTGATTGCTGCTTGCTTGTTTGATATTTACCAGGGCAGCTAAAATGCTGGGCCCTCTCGTGGCTGAGCTGCAGCCTCCAGCAGAGGCTGGTGTTGATAAAGCCATCAGGGTTAGGGTGCTCTAAGTCTGAGGCAGCTGCTAGGGGTCCAGGGGAGATGTGGGCCAGACAGGAAAGATGAGTCTTGGCAGACAAGAGCACAGACACATTATTTAAAGGTGGGCAATCAAGGGGAGGGATGTAGACGAAAACACTTAATTAGAGTTTGAACTCTGAGGTCTGGATTGTGGATAAGCCAAAGCAAATATTGACTGGGATGCCTTCTCTGCAGCAAAAGAAGAAACCAAGTGAGGACAGTTCAACTGTGCCGTGCAAGCCACATGCTCTGTCAGGTTAATGATGTGCAAACTGTCTGATTCACCACTCAGCCAAGGGTACATTTTTAGGGCCTTTTGGGGGTTAGCCAAATAATTGTAGACAGCTGCTCCCCTTCTGACCCCACAGCCCCCCAAATAGTAACATAGACATTCCTGAACAAATACTGCCCAGGGCACAGCTTGAGGCCTCCATGAGTAAGCTGGAGAATGAAGATGTGAAGATACTGCGACTTTTGAATTCCATTCAGCTTTCCTATGTTTAAGGAAAAGTCAATACATATGTGATTACTTAATCACTTAAACTGGTTAGGACCTACCCACCATCCATTTGTGGGGACAGTCCTACAATGTTTCCTATCCCATTAAAAAATCACTTATATGTTTATAATTTGTAAAAGCTTCTTCCAGTGAGAATGCCTCCAGCTGCATAAACATTTATGCCTCTGGGCACTTGAAAACATAAAAATAAAAAAATCAATAATTCTTATATCCTTCCACTGATTCTAAGTCATCTTTGATGGTACTAAAGAAATCATACAGTCAAAATCGATGCTATATGCTTTCACTGCATTTTTACAAGTATGATCTGATGTAATACCCTCCACACAGCTAATGTTCATTGTATAGATTTGAAAACTGAGGCCAAGAAAGGTCAAGGGTCATAGAGCTGATGAGTCATAGAAGCAGAATTTGTTCTCTTTTTCCAAACTCAAGGGAGCATCTCTTGGCACAACAGCTGCTTTCCATGAAATGTTGTTTTCTTGTTTAATTATAAACCCTCCCAAACACGGTTCTAATCCACTGACACTTGTTTGGACTCCATTCATAAAACCACGATGTCACATTAGTTCCTAAAGAGGCTCAGGAATTGCACTCTGTAAATTCAAGGGGCACTGGCTGGGCACTCACTCTGTACCAGACGCCCTGCCCTATCTCCCTCTGAGACTCACCTGCGCTGCCTGCGGTCCCACATCTGCAGCCCAGAAGAGTCCCACCACCAAGGCTCACTTTGGACAGAGGCTCCCTATGCCGTTTCCCGGAAGCATTTTCACCATCACTTGCAGTCTCCATTCAAAACTCTAGTTTGCTCTGCTTTCTGACAACCATGTGAATAAATCATACAAGAAGAACACTTTTTAAAAAATTAACTGGTGACAAAACCAATGGTAACAAAGAAGACCAGATTTCTTTGATCATATTTTTGACCTTTTCAGTCCATGAGCAGTAACCATCACCTTAACAAATAGTCTAAAATCGGCGTGAGTGTTAACAAAGATTAGATGAATAAATCCTGAGAAAGTCTGCTGCTCGCTGGCATCCAAAATACTCTTAAGATATAAAATGAATGCAAAACTACATTTCTTTTCCTTCTGCTCCAAATATCTGTCCAGAAACATTGGCGCAGGCATAGGACTATATTGTGTCAGTTGCAGTAATATAGAAAAATAATCTCAATTACCATAAGCTAGAAAGTTACGGTAACTAGTCTTTCAAATAAATCACCATGTGTCACAATTTGGCATACGCTCCGATCCTGATGAATAATTCACATGTTCTGCATTAATAATGCATGTCCTCTACCTATTGGAATGCTCCCTAATGCAGAATGGCTGTCTCTGAGCCATTTCCTCAATTGACATGATGGAGTAAGTCTAAACTTTTTAATGCGCCTTTTTAATGCTGCCTTTACTGTTGTAATACTCTGGCTTGCCCATAAGATTATAAAAACTACAAAGTTCCTATTATTTCCTGCCCTGTGCATGGGAGCCGCTCAGCGAGGGGCCCAACAATAGTTGCTCCTGATGTGAGACTATCTGCAGAGCAAAAGCGGATCAAGGAAGCCAGGCAGCGCTGGTGCGGACTGGTTAGTCCTGCCAACATCTCTCCCTAATTATCCATTCATAGTAACAAATGGCATGAATGCTAAAACATAGTGATGGGGGGAGGAGCAGAGGGAGAAGAAGGAGGAAGAAGAAGAGAAGGAAGGGACCAAAACAAACCAAGCAAGTGGTTTTAATAATTACCAATGTTTCCCATCCCCAGATTTTCTTTCCAAGCCATTTCCCACAGTAAAATTGCCAGACACATAAAGAACGCCCAAAGACCAAATAAGAGAGAGGGGCCAAAGACACGTATTTATAGAGAGACTTCAGTATAACTCTCTTCCCAGTGGGGCCAGTCCCATCAAGGTCGGCGTTTGTTGTGATTTCAGACCTTGTTAAGTTAACTTTCCTTTCCCCACCTCTCGCCAAACGCACACAAGAAACAAAGACAGCTCCAGCACAAGGCAGAGAGAAATGAGGTAATTTGAAATTAAAAAAAAATAATAATTCCAGGATCCTCCCCCTCCCTCCCTCAAGCATCCTTTGTGGTCACTCAAGCCCAAAGGGACCAGAATGAATTCTATCTGAAGTCCCATCAACGCAGAGAAAAGGGGGGAGACGAGGAGCCATCCCTGTGCCTCATCTGCCCGCTGTGAGTGCTCTCGGATTCATGGATTCATTCATTCTTTCCTTCAGCACCAATTCAGGCAGCACTTGCTCTGTGCAGGCAGCAGGTTCCATCAGCAGAGATCCACCCTCCGCGCTAAGCACCGGAGGAAATGCAGACCCCGGTCCCTACCCCAAGACGGCTGGCCAGAGGCCACCCACGCCGCCTGTGCCAACACTTGGGACAGAGCAGGGTCCCTGTCCAGGACCCAATGTCCAAAGAGACCTTCCTTACACGGGGCCGCCACCTCTCCCTTGGGTCAGAAATAGGTCGCCAACCCTGTCCACACAGAGGGCGCCTGCCCCTTTCTCGGCCTGCGGATCCATCCCCGGGAAAAGTTAAGTCGGGGCGAGTGGGAAGAGGGGGCACCGGGCATCCGGCTGGCCCCGCGCCCGCCGCGCTCCCTGCTCCAACTCCCATGGCTACCGGGAAATATTTATTTCCAGGAGATGGGCTCCAGCGGCTCCTGGAGCCGAACACGCGGCCACCATCAGGAAGCCCGGTCATCGGAGGGATAAAGATAGACCCGTTACCCGCCCGGACCTGGCCCTGCAGCGGCGGCCAGAGGCGCGGGCTCCCGCGGGGTGAGAGGGGCGCACCGCACCGGCGCGGCCGGGGTCTCCCTCCCTCCGAGCTGCTGGCTCCAGATGGAGACAATCGAACCGGCGATCAGAGGCAGAGAGGACCGGTACTCACCCCCAGGCGCCTGCTCCGGATCCTCACGTAGCCTTGCTTCACTATGTCATTGAAATTGGAAGCCATCCCGTACGGCCGGCCGGCGGCGACCCTCTCGCCGGAGCGCACGCACCCGCAGCGGGGCTCTGGGGCGGGTGGAGGGCAGGGGCAGGGCGGCGTGGGGGCTGGGAGAGGGAAGTTGGAGAGGGGAAGCTGCCTCGGCTGCGGCTCCGCGTGGCTCTAGAAGACGCACATCAGTCTGTCCCCCACGCCCCAAACCCTGAGAGTGGGCGGCCGGCTCGCAGCCACTTTGGGGGAGCGCAGCGCGAGCGCGGCGGCGAGGCGGCTGGAGCGCCGGCGTCAGCTGACTCACCAGCCAGCCCGCCCGCCAGGAGGAGGGGCGGCGGCGGAGGCCAGGGATCCGAGGAGGAGGAGGAAGAGGAGGAGGAGGAGGCGGAGGGAGGAAGGGGGTCAGAGGGGAGGAGCCGCGGGAGTCCGTGCGCCCCGCGGTGGCCGCCCGCAGGCGACACCCTGGGGCGCGCTCTCTCAGGCCCTCGCCCACCTGGCCGGTCCCGCTTCCCCAAGCGATCGCGCCCTCCTCCCTCCCCGGGAATGCCCCGCCTGACCCTACCTGACCATCAGCCTGCGGAGATGTGGCTCCTGCTCTTCTCCCTCCAGTGGCTTATTTTAGGAGGAGAGGAAATTTCACTTTTCCCCAGCCGCCGCCTCCCCCGCCTCTGTCTCCCTTCAGCCCCATCTCTTCCCTGCGAAGGGCTGGCTTTTACCTCTGCTGCGTGTGCACCTGGGGAGGTGGTGTTGCCATGGTTTGCCTTGACCTTGGCATATGAGGGCAGGGAGATTGCCATGGCTGAAGCTGCGTGCTCCGTCAGGTTTCCTTGGCACCCTGGACCCAGCCCTGGTGACATCAGTTGCCACGTTTTTATTGTGTGAGCCCGTCTTTCCCACGGGAATATGCTTCCCAGGGGCTAAGTGTACCCCCAAAGGCTGGCCCAGAGCAGGTGCTCAATGTATCCTTAGTACCAGGCTCTGTTCTAAGCCCTGTAACCCCACCCTGGACTTTTGGAAGTGCCCCCCACCCCCACCCCCACCCCCAAGTAAATAGCAGGTCCATAGTTGGCCCCCAGAGTCTGGCCATAGAACCCCCTCATGACCATTATGGGGGGTTCCTGCCTAGAAAATAACATTAAGCCAGTTGTGGGGGGAGGGAGGGGAGCGGTCAGGCTTGGCCCTCACCCCACTGGCCTTCCTTCCTGAAGCGGCCTGAGCTGACGAGAGCTGCTAACATATTTGGGGCTCCAGGGGCTGCACGGGATGCTGATCCTGCTAAAGGAACAATGAGAACGATACTAGCACCCACACTTGGGGAAACTGAAGCTCAAAAGAATGAAGAGACTGCCCCAAATGCCACGGGCTCAGCGGGTAACACTGCCCTATCGCCCTTCTGAAGAGCAGGTGTCATGGTCGGTGACTGAGGAGGGCCTTGCCAATCATTTGCACTCTCTGCACAGGCAAATCGGGCATCAGGAACTTAACAATTCCTGATCCCTGCAGGGGACAAACAGAGGCTGGGGGACCTCTGGTCAGAGCTCTTGAGAAGAAAAATCCATGTGTGAAAAATCCACTCTTTGACCGGCTGGTGTTTGAAGGTCTTCCCACTTGAAGACTCTATGAGTCTCTTTTCTCCCTGGGAGCACCGGCTTTTAGGCCCCGGGGTTCCATGGGTGTCAGTTAAAGAAGAGGAAAACCCGAGAATGTGTCATAGGAACACTGAGACCAAGTCGGGACAAGCCAAAAGCAAGTGCTGTGGCAGGAAAACTTTCTGCTCTGGAGTAACCAACGCCAGCTGTCATCCTGCCATCATTTGATGGAAATGATGCTTTACCTTTAAATCTCTCTCCAAGAGAGGAGGAAATGGTAAAATCACTTAGAGAATTCTTTTTAAAGGCTTAGAATTTACACACACACACACACACACACACACACACACACCACCATCCATGGTTACCACGAAATAGACCTGTTCATGGAAGGCATTGGTCCAATACCTCATTGGGAGGCTGAAGCCTCAGTATCATAGAAACAGTGAGGGAGGGATTTAGACATGAGGAGCTTGAAGCAAATGGCTTCAGACAGAAATAACTACTGAAAAAACTGAGACAGAAACCTTGCCTATGGTAATGTTGAGAAAAATCAACATCCATAAATAATTAAGCTAGAAGTGAGAAAATTGTAGAAAATATCAAATTAGATGTGAAGAGACAGAGATTTTTTTTTTTTAAATCCTCACCAGAGGATATTTTTTTCCATTGATTATTTTATTTTATTATTTTTTTTTTAGAGTGGGGGGAGGGGAGAAAGAGAAACATCAATGTGAGACACTTTGATTGGTTGCTTTCCATGTATGCCCCTACCAGGGCCAAGGATGGAACCTGCATCCCAGGCAGATGCCCTTGACCAAGAATGGAAACGGGGTTGTCACTCTAACCACTGAGCACACAAGCCAGGGCAGGTGTTTTTAAAGGTTTTTTTTTTTTTTTTTTTTTTTTTTTTTTTTTTTTTTTTTTTTGGATTGGCAAGGCAAATTTACTTCTGCAGAGGAGTGCAGTTGCTGAAAATCATGGACAAAGCACACCAAATGGGAAGTCGTTTGGGTTTTATTTCCTGATGTGGGTCTGCCCTGCCCCTCAGCCTGACTTAATTGGTCAGGGCTCATAGGGATGTTTTTCCTTAATTGCCACGTTGAATTCAGTAGACTGTTTCATTTGTTTTGGGGGAAGTCAGACTGATATGCATGCAAGACATGTGCTCTGTTATTCATGGGAGGGACGGCCACTGATGCTTCCCCGGGAGGTGCAGGCACACATGGCAGAAGAGGAGGGATGATTCTCAGAGATGCTCAGTGTAAGTAGAACTCACAGAGCCACCTGGTTCCACCACCACACCTGCCAGCCAGCACAGTCCCACACGCTGCAGCTTCACTGGAGATAAGCGAGACACACAAAATATCATCATTCCAACCCCCATTGTAACTCAGTTCTCACCACTTAAACTTCTTATTCTAGCATCCATTTCTGTTGCTTCCTCAGCAGCCAGGACCCCCTTTCCCAGTATGGTCAGCATTCCACCTCCTTACCCATTGCTCCCAGAGAGGTGTGTAGCCTAGCACACTGCCTTCCTCAGCCTCACTGATTGATCCAGACCTGGGCATGTGATCTACATTGTCAATTGAAGGGCTAATTGCATTACTTTTGCTGAGTCCTAGGACAAAGACTTGCCCCGGATATGGCTGAGATACAGTCTAGATGGGTCCCAGGAGCTGCGAGAGTGGATGGAGGCCACAGAGAAGTAGCAGAAACAAGAGATAGAGAGAAGCAAGCCAAATCCCAATGACATTGTTCCAGCCCCCTTATCCTGCACCCCACGGGCCTATTCCATTATTTAAGCACCTGTGAGGCTGGTATCACAATCAGCCTGAAAAATGCAATGACTTCTGTTGAATATGAGTTTCCTTATCTCTCATGACACCGTCCAGGTAGGAGCCTGGCCTGGGAAGATAGAAGCTCAGTCCACAGCTGCTGGATGCAGTCAGTACCCTTCCCAGAGAGGTGGAGAGAGCACAGAGGGAAAGCAGCCTCTGAATACAAGTGGCCCCAGATGTTTCAAATCCCTCTTCCTCTTGAATTCCACTGACTAATATTTAGTCACAGGGCCACCCCTCTCTCCAAAGGAGAATGGGGGATGCAATCTCCATTCTGGCATGGGTGGATTTCTGAAAGAACAAATCAGAATTAGTATTGGACAGGTCAATTGGCACTTTTTACCTCCCCAGTGCCATTCTTAGATGATTTAATTGCTCAAGCTAAAAACATTCCTTTTTAGCTTAAACCAGCTCAGACCAAGGTAGTCCGTCCTTTGCAATCAAGGGTCCTGTGGAAGGCACCATAGTTCTGTGAGTTGAAGCCTCAGGCATCTCAACTAAACTCTAGACAGATATACCTAAAAGCCCCAGATTACTTGAGAAAATTACAACATTTTCTTTGGCATTTTGCTGTAAAGTTACAGGTAACAGAAGAGAAAGTGACCTCGACCAAAGGGTCCAGTCTTTGTCTTTTGGGATTTACTGCTCTCCTAACTGAGTGATTCTGGTGGAGTGGATTGGGATGGGCCATTACCGTGCCCACCAGAAGCCTGGATACCTGATCAAGTCTGGCCAATCAGCACAGGCCACCCTTGGGTGCAGGGATTGCACAGTGATGAACATGTGATCTAGAAGACCCAATCAAAATCTTCCCTGGGGTGAGTAGATGAAAACACTGAGACACACAGCTGCCCATGGCCATCTTGTTTCCAAAATGAGAACCTAGCTGAGAACAAAGCTAGAAATATAACATCCCTGAAGCCAGAACTACCTCTTGCACTTCTCAGTCACACAATCTATTTGCTTTTTGTCTTGTCTATTTGTGCCCATTTAACTTAGGTGATAGAGTGCACTCTCCACAGCTGAGACTAGTGTGAGACAAGGGAGGTGCCTGGGTACACAGTGTAGCAGGCGCTGACTCTGAGGGCTGTGTGAGTGCTGAGCCTCCATCCTCACTACCCTGACCAGGGGTGCTTCTTCAGCTTCTTCATGCGTCCTGCACCCTACATGCTTCACCCCAGTCCTGACCCTGATACCCCCAGTCTTAATCAGCGTGGGTGGCTGTAACCAAATCCCACATAGCTTTCTTCCTTACAATTCTGGCAGCTGAGAGGTCCAAAGTGAAGATGCCAGCAGATCCCTCTTCCCTGCTTATAGACAGCCCCATCGGTGTGTGTTCACATGGGAGGGGGGGGGGAGGTGGAGAGGTGTCAGGTTCTGGTGGCTTTTCCTCCTATTAGAAGACCACTAATCCTATCACTTGGACCTCACCCTCATGGCTTCCTCCACCCTCACCCAATCACCTCCCAAAGCTCCCACCTCAAACTATCATCACATCCTGAGGCAGGGCTTCCACACTCAGTCCACAATCTGCCCTTACTAAAGACATGCTACTTGAAATGAAAAAGGTGCGAGTTCACAGGAATAC